CATTACCTGATCTGTCACTGCGATGTGATGAGCCTCTCTCAGCCTTTCAACTCTAAGATCCGCGCAGCAAATCTGCCGCAGCCAATGGGGAAGCTCCGCTCACAACGAGCCAATCAGGAGAAGGAGTGTGACAGCATGTCCCGATTGGCATGATGAGAAAGGAGCTTCCCCGTTGGCTGGAATCGGAATCACTCTCTGAACGGAGTTCTTAATGGGGTGAAGTTACAAATAAAACATTCCTAGGAAACTATCAATTAATCACGCAGGACAATGGGGGTTCAGCTGTTTAATACGTCTAGTTTCAACCCCCCATGTCTCGGCACATAGGCCTACATATAGGCTTTTATTTATTGCTAATACCATCAGGTAGCTTATGTTAAATTATTTTTCCAGATTAGACACGGCACTGAGTAGTATTAATAAAAAACTTTAATAAAACAAAAATACAAACTTGACACTTTGGCGGTAGCTTAAAGAATAAACGCTTTTCATATTTTGTGATTATTAGGCTACTCTCGGTTTACATTTATTAAATTACCATTGAATGTTTGGACAACAAAATTATGATGTTTAATTTTATAGCAAAAGCGTTTTGCAAGTTACCTTGTAATATTTCGTTAATGTGCTTGCAGTGGCTAAAGTAACCACTAATTGACAATATTCAAATTACAGCTGGTGAATGCAAAAACTGGCGATGGATTTTCATTTTTATTCAAATGCGCCTAACAGCGTTGCCATACAGGTGTTTTTTGTTTTTGTTTTTTTGCTTTAATAAGATATAAATATTGTATAAATAGGCCTATTAGGCTAATAAGAATTAGACGAGCATTAATGTGTTCATTTTTTTTTATCTTAAAACACACCACATCTTAAAACGTTGAATAGCCTAAATATTAATTTAAAATTACTCATCTTGTTAATCAAGACATTTGTCTGTATTTTGGCTACATTGCAATAGACTATAATTATTCATATAAAGACTGCAGTTCCGAGAGACTTAATAATAATAATTTAATGTTAAGAAGCGGTTGTTTGGCTGTTAACAAGACACTAGATCTCTTGTTACACCAATTAATATCTTTCTGAGTTGCTGTTGACAATGCACAACCCTTCGGGGATGCATTTACACACAGTTTTCAGCTCTAGATAGAGCGTGATATGACAGTTGACACAACAAGCGATACTTCAAAAACATTGACTAAGCATGCGGGAAGGCTACACAAAACACAATTCTCTTTGTCCCGATCGACCTAGCATGTGTGGTGTTTCTCAAAACAAAGTCAAATCAACTGACACTAAAGAATGTCACAGCTACTGTTCGTGATGGGTTTGCAGCATATGCGGGACGTGGGAGAGTAAAGCTTGTTTGGTTTAAATAAACAACAAATAGCCTATGTGGTTTGAGTTTGCACACAATTTTAGGCTTTCTAATCCAGAGCGGCATTTTGTCCACAATATTTTCCTTCTCAATTTGTAGCCTATTACGAAATGTATGTAACCTATTTTGTCGATATATATTTAAATAAGGCCTTTTAAAAATATATAGATTGAATAGGCTAATAATATTAATAATAATTAATTGACTTTACTGAAGGCTCGGTTATTTTCATAAAACGCGGATAGGCCTATATTCGGTTCACTGTAGGCTAGTTTGTACCTCGTAGACTAGCCTATAAGACGTTTCCATTATTTATTGGGGGAAAATGCCGTTTTTATTGCGTCAGCCGAATAATCGACTAATACAATGCATAGAACAAGCTGTCATCTCTCACAGTCTCTTTTTCGTTCGTGAAAAAATAGCTAGCCTATGGCGCCAGAATATGGTCAATGCATTCATGAACATTTTCGTCTAGGCTTTATTTTTTTATAGGCCTGTATATTAAAGACAATACATTAATATAGTCTACTATCATAACCAAATGTAAATAAATAAATAAAAGAGTTAATAAGGATTTAGAAAATGTTCATACTAGTTTATATTAGACTATCCAGGGAAATGATCTCTTTGAATTTGGCAACACATTTTTCTTTAATAGGTAAGCAGGATGGTATTTATAGGGTGATTTCGGTCAATTGTCTGTCTGGTCTTGCTCCGTCATCTCTGTTACTCACATGTGGTGAAGATGTTTGCCGTGCAGGTGCAGCTTTGCCACTCGCCCTTCTTCCCTCTTAATTTATTATCAAGGTTACGGCCAGCAAACCCAACTGCTACCCAGGGTGCAATTTCCCCATGTGGAATGCTTTGATCTTCTCTTTTTCCTTTTCTAAACACATCTGACAATGCAAAACGGAGAAAAATCGCAGTGTCTTTATTGTTTAGCAATCCCTATGCGTGAAGATTTATAGAATATCCTGCGCAAGTGGTTGTTTTATTACCCAAAAATGACTTTTTCGGTTCTTTGTCATCCCGTTATTTCCCTTAAGTATATGTACAGGCTATATTTGTTTGCTGACTAGCTTGTGTTGAGAAGCAAGGCCTGTGTGTGTATATTAGTAGCCTGCATTGTTCAGGAGTCAGGTTATTCAATAGTTGACTTTCTATTACAGTGAAAATGCAGGTCCATCATGGTTAAAACGCCCTCAGACACGTTCGAGGATATTTATTTACAACCAATGATCAGTGGCAGGCCTTCTGGTTTGGTTCAGGGTGTGTCACGAGTTACACACTACAATGTAACCTGATCGGAGTGTAGATTAGAGATTTGTGAGTTCACTGAATTCCCTGTTATGTTACTTAGCATTTGAAGACGCTTGATGGATCGGCAACACGTGCAACCTGCTGAATGCTTAACCACTCATAATTTGTCTATCCGGCTGATGTATACCAGAACACAGGGCCTTGTTGACTTAGAGGCACAAATTCAAATGTCAGCATTAAAAGCTGTCGCTCAGTTAAGTCAACAGATGTGTTAAATAGAACTGCAACACCTGCAAACTCAGCGACCGCTGGTTTAGCATCACATTGTACTTTTATAAACAGTATGAAACTAAACAGGGCGTCTTAAATAAACAACAAGTCACAACAAAACGCCATTTAGTTCTGAATGAATGTAGCCTATAAGTTACGTATTATCGCTACAACAGTAGCCTATACATCAGAACGAATTGTCGTGTCGAAAGTGTCGAATTGTAGGCCTAGAAAGCAAATTATAACAACTTTAATGACGCAATGTCTTCTTTTGTACACAAGGTATATCACGTGACAGTATTGAGTCATTATTGATGTTTTCATAGTGAGGCATGATTATTAATAATAATAACAACAATAATACAGTATGAATTATATAATTCGACAAAAAGATGATGGAATAATTCTTATTTTTTAACATGGAGAATTTAATTTACCGTAATGATTTTAATGTAATTGAATCTTCATGTTTCCTATAAAATAATGCATTCTAAACATATTATTGTCTCCACATATTGCTTAGAATTGCCTTTGATGTTGGATAGGTGTGTGAGTTACGTTTCTACGAAAAATGCCACACTTGGAAGCAGGACTATTTTTGAAAGTTTCTCTATTGTTAAGAATGTCCACTAGATGGCGCAGTTAGCTCATTTCTCTGCGCATGTCGTCACTGATAAACGCTTACACTTTAGTCCATTTGAAAGACTTTTTTTCCAAATAGAAAAATACACTGCGTTCATTTTATAATCACGGTTTTCACATTTATGTTAAATAACGTAAATCATCAGATAATAAACACCGAATGTTATTTTATTAGGAATGATAAGAGAACGAGGACGAGAAGTTTATTTAGTAGCCTATTGTTAGTGGTAGACTTGTTACATAATTAAATAAAATATAATAAGATATGGCCTGCCTTACAGCTGTACTTACTGCATAAATGTTCTTTGCAGTAGGCATGAGAACTGAATTTGTGGGGGATTAATTACAAGGTGTCCCTTTAAGTTTTATTTTATTATTTTAGTTGCTATTTAATTTTTGAAGACGTGTTTTATTTATATTTTAAGGCAGTTTTATAATTCTTTCTTTCTTTGTTTTATTTTAAAGAGTTTGTTTCGTTTTGCTGATATCTAATACATGTAGGTATTTGACTAAGGCAAACACAGTGACAATAACAGTACATAGAAGGTTTATTTGCCATACTTTTACATGCAGGACTGCTGGAATATTTTTACATTAAACTGTTATCAATGGTACATTTCATGCAAAGTGGAAATAGAGATCACTGTGCTCAAATATATTAAGTTATTCAGACTTTTTGGTCAAATAATAGTACCTTAATGATTTCCCCCCAAAATTAAAGCTAATGTTATTCCACACATGATTAAGTTGGCACAGCAACCTCGAATCTGTTAGAAATACAATACCCCAAGTAATGCACTGTATATCTTTTCAATGCGCTCCTAGATGAGCAGTGTCTCTTTTGTATCATTTCAAGAAGCCATTTGAAATATATTTCACTGCTTTTTTCCATCCACCTATTGAAACTGCTTAGGAGTTAGGAAGAAGTGTTCAGGATCCTGGAGGCTTTATATTTTAAGGCAGTTTTATAATTCTTTCTTTCTTTGTTTTATTTTAAAGAGTTTGTTTCGTTTTGCTGATATCTAATACATGTAGGTATTTGACTAAGGCAAACACAGTGACAATAACAGTACATAGAAGGTTTATTTGCCATACTTTTACATGCAGGACTGCTGGAATATTTTTACATTAAACTGTTATCAATGGTACATTTCATGCAAAGTGGAAATAGAGATCACTGTGCTCAAATATATTAAGTTATTCAGACTTTTTGGTCAAATAATAGTACCTTAATGATTTCCCCCCAAAATTAAAGCTAATGTTATTCCACACATGATTAAGTTGGCACAGCAACCTCGAATCTGTTAGAAATACAATACCCCAAGTAATGCACTGTATATCTTTTCAATGCGCTCCTAGATGAGCAGTGTCTCTTTTGTATCATTTCAAGAACCCATTTGAAACATATTTCAGTGCTTTTTTCCTTCCACCTATTGAAACCGCTGAGGAGTTAGGAGGAAGTGTTCAGGATCCTAGAGTCTGAGGAGTCAGATCTTTCATCATACTCCTCATCTGCAGCAAACATGCTCTGTTTGGCAATGACAGGACAGCTGTCCTCCTGGATGCTGATTCGATGCTCCTCGGTGGGCCTGCTGGTGAGGAGCGGTGAGCTGCGGATCACTCCGGCTGAGGGGCCTGAGAACGGAGGGATGTACTGTGAGCGCAGCTGATACTGCTGCTGTAATGTCATGGTATTCCACAGAGTCAAATCGTTGTGCACGAAGGGCCCGGCTTGGCCACGGCTCAATGAATTTCTCAGCATGAGGGGGTATCGAGGCGGCTGGGGGAAGCCGTGCTGGAGCGGCATGCTAAGAGGGCCTGGTACAACTCCAGCAGAAGGCTCTGAGGAGAAGCGCAGGGAATCGGGAACACGGAAGGCCGAACCGACCGACCACTTGGAAGACGAGACCGGGTACGAACTCAGCGGGTGCTCAAAGAGATGGCCGTTTGAGGGGAGTACCAGAGCATCTGAGTTCTCAGACAGAACCTTTTCTGGTTTCATCGTAGAACGGCTGGAGAGCAGGATCTCGATGGCTCCGACCAGGTCCCCACCGCAGCCTTTCAGGATGAGCTCCAGGACTGCTGGTTTGTGGGCTGGGAAGATCTTCTTCAGGACCTCCAGTGGAGGTCGGCTGGCCCTCAGGCTGAAAGGGAGAGATACAGAGCCTGAGAGGCCTTCGATGAGGACGTTGGGCTCAGGGGAGTATTTGGGGTTGTCAGCTTTGGGTTCTGGGTCGGTGCAGGATTTAGACGGGCCAAAGCGGGACTCCTCAACCTGGGGAGATGGGTCTGAGGTGTCAGGGGTGCAACACAGGTTAGGTTTGGACTCCTCAGGGGAGCTGGCTGGTTCTGGTTCTCTGTCACTGGCACTACCACCATTCTCTCCACCAGACTGTTCACCAGACATGTCCTCATTTAGGTCTGGAAAACACACACAAGCAAAAAGCTCATGAGCATTATGTACTGTATAATCAAAGATGGTAATACAGTGATGCTGCAGCAACATTCAAATGTTATACAGTCAACATAATTAAAAAACTGTCAATCTAACTGTAACATTCATTTAAATCTTTGAAGGCCTGGCATTTTTTTTTTTTAAATAGCTAAAGTTAAAAGCTTAACTTTAAACACATTAAAGCCCAGCTAACGCGCTACTCAAACACTGTCCGATTCTGCAGACTAGAAGTGCAACATTTAGGCTATTGACCTGTCAGCACTGCTGTGATTTATAATGGGTGACTTTATTGGCTGTTCACATAAAAACGCTGATGCGGTGGCAGTGAAAAATCTCTCGTCGATTCCACTTAACTACAGTTTTGCAAACGGATTATTATAGAAACATTTTACATTAATTCGGACTTTCTTTGCATTTCAGCTTGACCTTCCTCTGAAATGACCGACAGGGCCTACCCTATTACTACCTCCAATGTGCACTGTCGATCACAGAATACAATAATAATAATAATAATAATAAACTTTCAAGGATCCAAGTTTATGACGGATGGTGCCGATGCCATTTCGTTCGGATTATTGCCGGATTGTCTATATATTTGTGTTTTAATAATTCGGACTAAATAATTTAGCAGAACTTTCAGGTTTGGGATGTAGCTATTTTAATCTAATGTATCTAACGCAAACAGTGAAAAAATGTTTGGTGTAATAAACGTGTTTGTGATTGTTAAAATTTCAGTAACGACACCATAATGAGAAGAATAAACTGAATTTTTAATTAGAACAACATTAATAAAAACAGTTCTTATCATAAGTGTATTTTTGCCGGTTTAGGAAAACGGGCTATATACTTCCAGGAAACAAAAATGCCCGCATTCTGCATTATCATGTTGTCTCGATCAGTGAGACTGTTGCTGAAACTACTGCAAAGATACATTTTTGTTAGATATTTGTGATTTTTTTTAATGTTGTGAAGTTATTTCAAGAGAACTCAGTCGTGTTCTCTGTTAAGCTCATTCTGTTTCGTTTTTATAATACATTTTATAGCAATAATAAAAATAGGCTAATAGGATTATTATTAATAAAAATGAATGGATTAATTATAATTACTTTGAGAGAATCTTCCCACGTGCAAAACGCAATACACCTTGTTTTTAGCGTTCCTAAAACGAAGTTCAAAAGAGCACAATGTCTCAAATATTGTGTAACTAACACAAGCGATTACCTTGCGGCGGTTTAGGGGTCACCGTCTCTGAGCTCCAGCGTAGGTCTATGTCGCTTGGTCGTGGGTTTGCACTCTGCTCTCCGCTCCCCACCGTGATGCCCGGCAGCGCTCTCAGAGACTCTGGGATCAAACTCTCCAAACTCTCGTTCGCCTGCTGACGCCTCAACGCCACCTGAGCCGCCATGACCCGCTGTCGCTCGATTATCAAAATACATTTCTCGCAAGTGCAGTCCTTAAAACGGCAGTAACGCTTGTGCCCCTTCAGCCAGGAGAGCACCCCGTGGTTCCTGCAGCGGGCACACTTGGGGGTCCTCTGGAGTGGCGCTCTCGGCTGGGACACCGGGCCCCCCATGTAGATGTAGGGCGATCCGTAGCCATTCATTTCTCAAGTCGTTTCCAAAGGTGCCAGAGGCGCAAGTGCATCAGATAAGATGTAGAGGAAGAGTGCTGTCAAGTATAGTCAAGAGATCAAGCTACTCTGCTGCTCGCTACACTCGTGATGAGAGGTGTTGACTCTTTAAGACGAGGATCCACCTTTCGCTCCGCAATAAAGAAGTGCATCAGGCGATCTGACACGCACTAACGAATAACTTCTATTTCTCACATCACGGTCACGAGCAATTTACATTCCCCTGACACTGGATGGAGGGAGGATGTCTCGCTTTTATAATTACAGTTAGAATTTTGTGGGATATTTTGCCGACACGCAACCTTCTAATACAAACAGCCATACATTTGACATTTTTAATAATGTTTTTTTTTAATTAGCCACATGTCTGACCTGTGAAATCTTGAAGCCCTCCCAAAGAAGTCAACATATAAATGGCTTCAGGGGTTTCAAACGTTTGTATTGTCTTTACTTACAAACAGCTGTGTTTCATTAAGTTTTCAAACGTTTATAAATAACCGCAAAAGTTAATAGTCTGCATAGGAACTGTACAGGATCAACAGAACCTACTGTTGTGATTTATTTATTTATCTATTTAGGCACTTTTTTATTTTTTAAACATTTACAAGTAGCCTACACAACACAAGTAGGATATATCACAAACAAAAAAATAGTGTTTGCTAACTGTATACCAGAAACAAATGGGCTCCGTGAAACGAGCTTAATTAGCAAAATAGCCTACCGAAAATAACTGACAAGTGATCTTGAAACGTCGACCCCATGAAAGAAACTGAATAGGCCTATAATTCACATTATTTTAAACTGGCTAATTCAATTCACAGTACAGGTTTTAACAGGTTTCAATTTTTGTACGCATACTGCGGAAAATAGAGAGAATTATAATAAAATAAACAACAATAATCTATCATTTTCACTGGTTGTTTGAATTCGGACCCACAGCGATTTTTCAACATCGTAGGAGGCTCTTAGGAGTGCAGTAATTTCAAGAATTAACTGGGAATGTAGAGAAGAATTCCCATAACTGCTGTGCGCTTTTCATGAAAATCCTGCAACCACTTTGGTATTTAGTTTAACCTCACGCTGTGAATTCGAATTAAACACAGGCGACAATAATATGGTGGTTTGCATTTGAATGAGCTCTTAACTTATTCCCATGAAAAATGTTGAATAGTCCGACATGCAGCAAGAGTTAATTGAGCAATATGATTTGGGCTTGTACCAAATGAATTCTGAAAGGATCAGATGAAAAAATTAATTGAATCAAGCGAACTGGGCGATGTCAACAATTAAACAAGTCTATTTGTTTTTGTGCACACAGTAAACATACTGTACATAGACTTTAAATGCAATTTGGCGCGCGATGTAGGGTGTCAATTGCAGCACACCTTTCTTAACATGATGCCCATCGCTTTTAAAGTCCAGTGAAACTCAACACCGGGCACCCTCGAGTCCCGTTTCTGTTCCTAAATGGGTTTATTCAAGCACGTAATGGGATCCCAGCAGCACAACTTTGAGAACTGGGGGCCACGGTAAACTTCACCACATGAACTCGGTTTCCAGGGCTATTAAGCTTTTAATTGGAAAATAGCAGATGAAATTTCAAGGTGACGATAATGCCGCATGCAGTCTGTGTTTGGCCAAGGGAATTCACAGCAAGGGGAGTGGGAGGACAACACAAATGCTAATAACATTATTTACGTTTCTCACCAACACTGCAGAAAATGAATAGGCTACATAAAAAAAAAATCTATTTCTCTCTCTCGCTCTCTCAAAAACTGTTTTTTATTAAATAAATAAAAGAAGAAGAAAAGGAGAAAAAACTCAACATATTGTTGAACAAAATAGACTATTTTGATATTTAAATACATGCATTCATATTTATGTAATATGTTTTACATTAAAAGTATTTTATGTAAAATACAATTTTTTATGTTGAATGTGATTGGCATTAATGTACATAGATATAATGAACAAAGAGAAATGAAGATGAGCATAGAATACCATCTACACAAATCCTCTAAATGTAAAGGGAGTACAATTCATTTGTTAACAACTATAATGCTTTATTTTTACAAGTAAAGAGAGTGTTTTTGATTAACTTGTTTGACTTTAGTCTTGTGTGAGATATAAACGCTAAATTAAATAAGCATAAAATTCCAACCAACCAACCAGCAAAGAAAGAAAGAAATATCTGGCTCTTCTGAAGGTAATTAATTATACAGTATACATATGGTGAAGAAAATGAATGAAGCCAAAGGCCTACCAGTAAAAAAATCTGATTAAGATGTATCTATATACACATATGGTATCTTCTTTCTGTCTACATGACAGTTTTACAGATTAAATCCATTCGGAAGATAATTTTAGTAAGTACTCCTGAGAGAACAATTTCTGAAAGACATGGGAGAGAATAGAGAAGGAAAGTTTGATGTTTGGAAAGAGAGAAACAATACTCCTAAGAATAATGAAGTTATAATACCACTAATTAAAAATAAAAGAAGCTTTTAAAAAAGTGATTTAATTTCTAATGGTGAAAGGTTACGATTTGTATGAACATTTTCTGAGGGTTAAGTGAACCACTGTTAACAGCACTAGATTGTATCTATGTGGAGCCCAAAAGCTGTTTTATGCTGAAGGACAGAATAAAGCCAGAGTCTCAGGTCCAAGATCCAAGAAACCATCAACTGAGTAAATGACACAAACTAAACCGATATAGTCAACTATTCAGTGTGGGAGGTACTGGCACTCCCTAATAATTTACTTTTACATGATTAATTTAGCAAATGCAGTTATCTCGGCAATTTACAAATGAGAATAATAGAGATTAATCTCAGCGGAAACAATAGTGCTACCATAGGTTACAGACACAAAAGATGACTTATTTCTGCCTGTAAGAAGTTCTAAGGTTTCAGCCATTGAGCACTGACATCCACCAACATCATGTTTAATCTAAATATTTGCACTTTATTGTACTGCAGTTTTGACTGAATACCTTTCTAACACATGTAAAAAAAAATAATACAAAAAACCTTAGTAAGACTGAAGTATATATTTTTTATAGAGTTTGATTTCTGCAGAGCAATGCTCTTTTATTTAATTTGATTGCTCTTTTTGTACTTCCTGTCGGTTTTGATTGAGGTTTATAGTGGTAATTATGAATGGACTCAATGTTGAGTCTGTGAACTGTCTATTGAGAGCCAATCGGCTGCTCTTTCATTGCGGCTCTCTGACAGGCAGCCAATAGTTTCAATGTTGTGAGTAATGACAGGACATCTGTCCAGTGAAATGTCTGGTTATTCTCTCTGTGTAGGCAGAGCCTCCAAGGGCACCCAAATCACTGAGACTCTGACAGGGCCCACACCCTCTCCATCTCAACATGAACAAAGGTAGACAACAAAATAGTTCTCTGCCATTATAACCCACTCTAATGGCTTAAATTATACAACTAAGTGCAACTGAAACTCTTAAGTTAGAACAATAACTAAGACATTGTCAGTAACTGACTGACAGCTTCATCCAATCAATCAGACTTTTTACTGCTTATTTGTACAGTTACTGTATTAATTTACAACTTTTGTGCCTGGGAAAAAGGGTTGCTGAAACTCGTGCTGTTACATTCACAGATACGGGGAAATTTAGCATTACATCACTTGTTAACAAATGGATCCTCTACAGTGAATGGGTGCCGTCAGAATAAGAGTTCAAACAGCTGAAACATTACAATAATCCACATTAAAAAAATAAATAAAACGCAGACATACAGCGGGTAAAATAAGTATTGAACACGTCACCATTTTTCTCAGTAAATATATTTCTAAAGGTGCTGTAGACTTGAAATGTTCACCAGATGTCGGTAACAACCCAAGTATTCCATACATACAAAGAAAACAAAACAAATAAGTTCAGAAATTATGTTATGTGTAATAAAAGGGAATGACAGGGAAAAGTATTGAACACGCTTACTGAAATGTATTTAATACTTTGTACAAAAGCTTTTGTGGGAATGACAGCTTCAAGACCGCCTCCTGTATGGAGAAACTAGTAGACTTGAAATGTTCACCAGATGTCGGTAACAACCCAAGTATTCCATACATACAAAGAAAACAAAACAAATAAGTTCAGAAATTATGTTATGTGTAATAAAAGGGAATGACAGGGAAAAGTATTGAACACGCTTACTGAAATGTATTTAATACTTTGTACAAAAGCTTTTGTTGGTAATGACAGCTTCAAGACGCCTCCTGTATGGAGAAACTAGTTGCATGCATTGCTCAGGTGTGATTTTGGCCCATTCTTCCACACAAACAGTCTTCACATCTTGAAGGTTCCATGGGCCTCTTCTATGAACTCTGACCTTTAGTTCTTTCCATAGATTTTCTATTGATTTCAAGTCAGGTGATTGTCTGGGCCATTCTAGCAGCTTTATTTTTTTTCTCTGAAACCAATTGAGAGTTTCCTTGGCTGTGTTTGGGATCATCGTCTTGCTGAAATGTCCACCCTTGTTTCATCTTTCATCTTCATCATCCTGGTAGATGGCAACAGATTTTTATCAAGAATGTCAATAATATGAAGTTTGCCAGTGCCATATGCTGAAAAACAGCCCCACGCCATGATGTTCCCACCTCCAAACTTCACTGTTGGTATGGTGTTTTTGAGGTGATGTGCAGTGCCATTTGACCTCCAAACATGGTGTGTATTATGGCATCCAAAGAGTTCAATTTTGGTCTCATCTGACCAGACTATATTCTCCCAGTATTTCACAGGCTTGTCTAAATGTTGTGCAGCAAACTTTAAATGACCTTCAGCATGCTTTTTCTTCAGCAAAGGAGTCTTGTGTGGTGAGCGTGCATGTAGGCCACGGCGGTTGAGTGCATTACTTGTACCTACTAATTCCAGGTCTTTCTGAAGCTCTCCACAAGTGGTCCTTGGCTGTTGGACAACTCTTCTGATAATTCTTTTCCCTCCTCTGTCAGAAATCTTGCGAGGAGCACCTGGTTTATGGTGAAATAAGATGTTCTTTCCACTTCCAGATTATGGCCCCAACAGTGCTCACTGGAACATTCAGAAGTTTAGAAATCCTTCTGTAACTAATGCCATCAGTGTGTTTTGCAACAATAAGGTTGTGAAGGTCTTCAGAGAGCTCTTTGCTTTTACCCATCATGAAATGTTTCTTGTGTGACACCTTGATAATGAGAAACCTTTTTATAGGCTACCAGTTGGGACTGAATCAGCTAATATTAACTTCCACTGAGAGGCAGGATTGCTTTCTAATTACTGATAGATTTCAGCTGGTGTTTTGGCTTTCCAAGCCTTTTTGCTCCTCCCTTTCTTCATGTGTTCAATACTTTTTCCCTGTGTCATTCAATTTTATTACACATAGCTTAATTTCTGAAATTATTTTTGTTTTATTTGTATGTATGGATTACTTGGGTTGTTACCGACATCTGGTGAAAATGTCATGTCAACAGCACCTTTAGAAATATATTTACTGAGATAAATGGTGACGTGTTCAATACTTATTTTACCCACTGTATTTGTTTAGAACCGTTTTTGCTTGTAAATGGTGCTTGATCTGTGCATATTTCTCTCCTGATTCAGACATTTTTATTGGAGAAAGTAATATTATGGATCGGGGACTCATATTTTAGCCATAAGTAAAGGTTTGAAGTTAAAAATGCCTTAAGAATTGATGTGTTTATTACAAGATGTCAACTGATGGACTGGAGTTGTATTTTTATAATCAGTTTGATCTCTCATTCTGACGGCACCCATTCACTACAGAGGATCCATTGATGAGCAAGTGATGTAATGCAAAAATTCCCCAAATCTGTTTACTTTTAAATGATTTAAAACACTAATTGTATTCTTTTAGTCCCATTGATATGTTGGCAAATAATATGCAACCATAATATTGTACTCAGGCACAGTATTTCTAGTCATCCAAACAGATGGTTATATGTCAAGTATGGTGATATTTGATTTGGAATTACATCACTGATTTTTGTGAAATATGTAATATTGAATACTTCAAAACAACAAGCAACCGCATGTTCTCCATAAATTTGACTGTCAAGGTTTTATTAATGTTGCAATTTCTATTCTACTCTCAGTCCAGTAATCTTCTTTATTATCTTTACAAGCCCCTCGAAATAAAATGCATTCAATTCAAATAAATGTATTATTACAGATTAAACCGGGCCTTGTTTCAGACCATACAGTCATCAAACACTTTTATGATGACCTCTTCCTCTCTTAAATCCAAAAGCCCTGACTTAAGAAAATGCAGCTCTAGCAGCACCCCCCCCTCTCCAGTATGCACGGAGACTTTGGGACAGGGACTTTATCTTTCATGCAGCCAGCGTGATTGATGGCACAATAGCAGCTCAAGGAAAACAAATCCAGACACTTTTCAGGCTGTCGCTGGAACACAAACCTGAAGCAGCAACAGAAGGACACGGCGGCACGGCAGAGCCCAGCGCTGACAGCCTATGATAAAGCGGCCTTCCTTAACTAAACTCGTAAAGCACGGGACAATAAAACTCAATCTACTGTAAAATCCAATTAAGTCATTATCTGACTGATTGTATCTTTAATTGAAAACAGAAGTGACAGTAAATTTCTGTGATATATCAGGATCAATCGATACTGCTGTACAATCTGCTCTCCAGAAGTGATTTATAATGCCGAAGCCATATAGGTAACTCCACATTCTTCTCACTAAAACCACTGAGGGATGAAATTAAGAGTAAGTGCATTTAATAAAAAAAATAAAATAAAAAAAAACACAAGATGGTCAGGTTATTGATTACAGCAGATGGGGCAGAATCAAATGAATGTTTTCAGGGTGCAGAGCAAAGAAAATACAAGTAATTTTAATTTCAGATTTTTTATCACGCGCTCTCAACAGGCATGCCTTGTGAAAGTCGGTCATCAAGAATGATTTTATTTCCACTGAACATGAGACCATATAAACACACAACCACTGCAAATTAGCTTTTGTATTGTTTTATAATCATAACAATAATACAAATATTTGTAACATCATGGTGTCAGTGAAAAAGAGCTCACCACATCATGAGCAAAATACAGTATGTTTACACAAAACCAGCGTCTGGAAAACAAATGAACAAATTAATCAAACTGTGAACTGTAAGTCTAACAATTGTACAAAATATCCAAATCGAAACTGTTTGACTGTTTAATATTAGAATATACAGTATGCATATTCCTACAAGATTTTACATTCATTTTTAGAAAAAGCCAAAGGCTATTAATTTAAGTCTCTGTAAATGCAAAACAAATACAGATGCAAGCATCTTAAATGGCCCTCCACTATAATAAAAAAAATACAATGTAAAAATTTTATTACACTGAGAAATGTCCAAAATGCATTTAACGTGGATATGGCTCATTTCTATCAGATCAAAAAACTGAAAAATGTCATCATTTGTAGTTAAACATGCCGTCATAACAAATACGTCTGCAACAAACCGAGCATAAAAGGATAGACAAAGTTTTGTGTCCCTCTTCTCCTTTACCATTTATTCGTGACTTGACTGAGGACACTATCTGTGCCAACACCATTAAAATCAAGGGCACAGCTTCATATTTTACAAAGAAAGCACAGAAGAGTACTGAACATTAGCCGGATCCTGCATAGGAACAGGGTAGAAGCAAATCATCAAAAGTGAAATGATGTTCTTTAGTGATGGCCATAAATAAACAAGCCATTCACTGTGAGATTGAAGCATAATTTAATAGTATCTCTTCTAACTCAACTCAATGGAGATGCTGGAGAAGAGCTCATACACTTTGCATCTTGAAGGTCATGGGAAGAAGTTAGATTGTCCATTAGGCCAATGACAGCAAAACTGAGCTTCAACTGATATGTGACAATAAATCGTTGTGCTCTGCTTTTTCTTTCGCTAGTGTAAAAGAGTGGAAATGAATCATTCTAATCTTTAAAAACTGCAGCATTAAAAGTAAACAAACTGACGCTTTCAAACAGTATAAAACATAGCCAGCCTTGAAAACTGTATTTCTGATCATTGAGAAACTAAGAGTAAAACAACCCATGTCTATGAAAATCTTAAAAAGTTGAAAAACACCACAATGATCAACCTGATCAGTACTAACTACAAACTGTTGAACAATAAGGTAGGGTTTGCTTTCAAAATCATAATACTTTTAGCTAAAATACAGAAACAATTCAATTAGATGGGAGATTGGTGCAGATGAGGGTTTTTCATTTGGTTGGCCCCTCGACGATGGAGTCGACAGAGAAGGTTCCAGACTCTGAGCTGCTCTCACACTCCAGCTTGTTCTCAGGGTTGATCATTGAGCTGATGGACACTGCGTCTTGAGCTCCATTAGAGAAAACTGAAATGAGATGGATCATGACAAAAACTATTTTTTGTGTTTAGTTTTGTGCCAGAGCATAATCTGATTATGGCATCTGTGATACATGAAACCTGAAGCATGCATGTAACACGAGCGTTTTGGTTCCTGACATCTTCACATTTACTGACAAAGTACAATGGTGCCAAAGAATATTTGGACACTTAAACCTCACATAATATTTGAATGTCTTTGGATTAGAAACAAAATATCAAGCAAAGCAGCATTTATCTGAATGTTAAAGTTTAAACAACAATAAACAATAGATCTGAACATACACCTGTGCTTACTCTGACAGGAAACTAGTGTGAACTTGAGGGCAAAGCTGCATTTATTTGATTGAAACAGTAATATTGCTAAATTATTACAACTGAATGTATTTTAATATACTAAGTAACAATGTATTACTGCGATGGCTGAATTGTCAGCAGCCAATACTCATATGCTGATTTAATGTTCAATAAACAACATTACGCTCAACATTATAATTGAAAATAGTTGTCCTGCTTAATATTTTGTGGAAAATGTTCTCATTCTTCAACAAAAATAAAATTCAGAAGAACAGCTTTTATTTTGAACAAAAATCTTTTATAGCAATGTATAAGTCTTTACTGTCACTTTTGATCAATTTAATGCATCCATGCTGAATAAATGTATTCATTTCTTTAAAACAAACCTTACAAACCCCAAACTTTTGAACTGTAATGTACATCCAATAATAACCATTTTGAAAGTTGTTTTGAATTTTGAATAATTGTAAAAATGGCTCAGAAATTATACATATATTTAAGTCTCCAAACATGTTGGGGGCCATTGTATTTAAAAGCTACTTTTATCAACTTAAAAGTTACCATTTTGAATTCTGCCAACAAAAAATATCTGAACAAGCTGAATCTTTGAACAGAACACAATGTTAGTGTAGAAAGAGTAATGTTGAAGCATTTCTTTTCTTGAGATTATCAGCTTCTCCCGTTAAACCAAACAGCATCAATTAACTGTATGAGCAGTGCTGTCAGCTCTCCACATGACAACAGAGTAGAGACAGTGCTGCCTTTTAGGAATCACACACTGCAGTGTTCTAGCTACTTTAGCAAACTCACTCAAGCTGAAGATACACGTATTGAGCAAGACCGACTGCTACGTGAGCACACGGCTATTGAGCAAATAGCGCAGGACAAGTCTGTACTGTCCTGACTTTCTCATGTGCCGGTGTGCACAACGAAAAACAGCATCGTATTAATATAAATATAAAATACAAATATGTTCTGGCTGGCATTAAATAAATGCTGATAGTTACTGGGTTACACTGGATTACAATCATCTGCTTAAATAAATGACTTTATGTAAATGTAAAACCGAAACCCTAGCAGCATAAACGTTAGTTCCCTATAAAAAAGCATGGTGGCTTTTGCATTGAGCCAGGTCACCGCTCATCTCAGTATGCATATGATTCTAATACATTACAGTCTCTACCGAGTCTATCAAAGCTACGTGTCAGGAGGGGCGACGCGCAAATCCTGTTCATCTGCTTTCCTGACCTTCATTACCTGACTGTGCCTATCATCCCTTCCTGCCCTCCCTCTTTTTCATCTGCCTCTCCTTCTCTGCGCTGCTCTGGCGTGGAGGTAATTAAGGGGTGCTGGTGAAAAGGAGTAATTTTTCTCCTCATTAACTTCCTGATTGGTTTCAGGCTACAAACTTTGCGCTCCGCCCGCACTTTGTCACCAATTCCAAACTGGCCAATCGTTAATACTAATGTTTGTGTAGCTAAACTGCGCTGGCGCTCTCTGTACAACAATAATACATGGAGTGAGGGGAGAAAGAGGAGGGGCTGGAATTAGCCGTGGCTGTGTTAATTCTGAGGGAGTTCATCAGGGGGAAATCTATGGTGTAATTAAAGGGAAGATCTCGCGGGTGAGTGGACAGGTCGTTTGTAGGGACGGTAAATCAGCTGTGGGGCTGTTTGGCAAGCGGACATGTTCTGTGTCATGGCTTCGTTGCCTTTAATTATCATTGCATTAGCGCTTAATATAAAAACTAATGTCAGATCGGCCATAAACACTCTGTAATACAGACAATCAGGCCTTTAAATATGCAGATAAAACCAAATAATAATGAAACAAGTAAATGGATTTCCTTGACTTGTAAATACAGCATATTCATTATTGTATTATGACTTTGAAGAAACATCTCTCAAACTAATTTATTTTTTGACACCATCCTGCTGAAAAATAAATAAATAAAATAACCAGGCTAACCTAGTTTGCTGGTCTCCCAGGATGATTTTTAGAGGGGTTTTAGGTACTTTACAGCTGGCCGCTTAGACCATTTTAAACCAGCTAAAACCAGCTTAAACTTAAGTGTTTCAGCAGGGAACATATTCAATAAAGATAACAGTTATTATAAAACCTCCACAAAGTTGCCAAACAAGACATTTCCTACACATTGGCAGTAACACAAGAATTACAAAAAAAATAAAAATCACACGTCTGTCAAGTCTAAAACAGTATTGAAACAAGAGAGGATTTACTTTTCTGTACGCCCAAAAAGAGCTTATTCTCCCATCTGAACTTTTGCCCTATTCACCCATGTTCGACTGACTATCTTAGATTTCCAAACTATTAAACAGTCTTTGTGTAGTTTAACAAAAGGAAGCTTAAAAAAAAAAAGAGCATGAAAAGGGGAGGGGAAACAGTGAAAGAAACTCAATCATTTCTGGCAGTTTGGAAAAAGTGAACAAAAGCCCAGATGTGAGAGAAGATGGTAATTCAGGGTTGATCTGTTGTGGATAAGCTCTTTCCTCTGCAACTCATATACTGCCAGCGCTGGGCCATGAGGGTCCATAATGCCTGCACTTAGATAAACACACAGAGTTGCACAGAGATAACACACACAGGCGCTCACACACACACACACACACAGGCATACATACATGCTCGAACGTGTATAAAGATGCACCCATACACACGTGCTTACAGTGATTACAAATTTAAATAATAGTTCACTGTATCATTCTAAAACTCAGTTGTATCAGTATGAAAATCAGTCTAAACTGAGAGTTAAGATATTATAGGCTGATATTAGCAGTAGGTAGGTAGTTGCGATCTTAATGCCATATCAGCAGCTAAGGCTATTTTGCATCTTGCACCAATTACGTAACAGATGTATAAATACAACACAATAAAATAAATTAAAATTACACAAGGTGTTTAAAATTCAAAAACAACTTCTGGATCATTAAACAAGTTCTAAAGAGAACTTACTATAGAAAAAAATTTCAACTACTTGTATTAAAAGCAAAGTTGCCCAACAAGACATGTTTAAGATAAAAGGGGGGCTGATATTAGATACTTTTTAATTTAGCAATATTATTAGATATTGGATATTTAAATGAACATGCTCATTCATTCATACTTTTGCATTTTACAATTAATTGTTCAAAAACGCTAATAACAGACTGTTAAAGTTAATCTTTAGGCAATCTCAATCTTTCATACTGCACATCATCAAATATTATGATGAACTGACTTTAGTTTTGTGTTTTATTTTCTTAGTTTGACAAAATAGTATAGAAGTGTAATAGCAGTCATTTAGCGGTTAATAGCCATAAAGTTATAATTTTTTTGGTGAGAAATGTAATAACATAATGGCATAAGTAACCATTTGCCATTCACATGAACCAAACCCTTAACCTTGCTTGTTGGACTTGGGTGTGCTTCATTCGTGCATTCTCAAATTTGGAAAACCACTTTTACAATAACCTAACAGACCAAACTCTGGTTGGCACCAAAAGCTATGAGCACTCTCAGAAACAAACACTCACATATGTATGACATGACTTGGCTGAAGATGTGCTGGAGGGAGATGGAGCTCCCTCAAGGAATGACATGCACGTCTCTCTCAATCATTAGAGTCGTGGCAGGACTTAATGGCGCAGAAAACACAGGCCTACAGCAAGGCGGCGGCACTTTAAACAGCTGCGGACTCCTCAAAGAGTGAAGAGCCGTTGCTGCTGCAGAGAGACGGATGTTGTTCTTGGAGTGGAGCTCTCACTCATAATCACATTGGCACTGGAGTTTGAAGCACTCAAGGGAGGTGAACGCCGAGGCATCTAACACTTAATGACAAATAAAATTCAAATTTATGTATATTTCAGAGGACCTTCAGATTATTTTTTTTTACTGATGAACTGATCAGTGTGCACTGTGTATTAGATAATGCAACTCAATAAAAAAAGAAGAGATCTATAGGTGGCACATCTATAGTATTATAACGAAATCCAACTAGATTTTGAAGAAAATGCGAGTGGTGTAGCGGTTTTATTTATCTTATTCATACAGATAAAAACAGAGAAATCTATCATGTAAATGTTTCTTGTGTGAACTTTATTTATTAAAGAATCCTGAAAAGAAAAACGGTTTCTGAAAAATATTAAGCAACACAACTGTTTTTCATACTAATTCATACTAATCTTTCTTGAGTAGAATACCAAATCGATTAATGAAAGATCATGTAACACTGAAGACTGGAGTTATGGCTGCTGAAAATTCAGCTCACATGTGAGTACATCGGACACTTCAGTCCCCATTATCGGTCTATTAGAGATCTGCATGAGTGGCCTGCAATGTCTGACAGGAGGCATCATGCCAGGGTCAGAGGCTAATTAAACACATAAGCACCTCCAGACCTGTATTGTTCCCCAATCTGTCCCCAGACTCAAAGTGTCTCTGAGAGAATTGGCAGGCCCTCCTCCCTGTTAAATCACTGGCACTGATACAGTGCTCTGCCGTCCCTGTAAATGACCTGTCCGTCTCTCCCGGCCTGCGCTCTGTTCCGTCGAAACATTATGGATATACTATAATGACTTGAGACATAGGATCGATGATTTGAGGGATTTTGTGTCATTATCTTTAAAGGAGAGAAAATAATGACAAGTGCAGAATAAGCGTTGCAGGCATCAGTTAGCACAGCTGGGAGGGAGA